CGAATCAAATATACCGCGAATTTTGCACATTTTAAGGAAGGTTCGCTCCTAATTAACTCTCAGGTCTAAAACTTTTTCTAAACGTATTGTTCCTAGTCGGGTCAAATTGAGGTAAATCATTTTAAATAGTTTTTGAAATATCATCTCCGTTATTTCTGTTTTAGTGGATAGATTTTTTTTTTTTTTTTTTTTTTTTTTTTTTTTTTTTTTTTTTAATTTTTACATTTTGGTAACATAGTGGCGATTTCTCATCCTCATGCGACAAACGGAACCAACAAAATATGGACATAATGCTAGGGAAAGGACGCGCTTTGATGACGGCGCAGACATACAACTATTCGTACTTGATGGATGTCCGTGTTGCGTCTGATTAATTGAAGGCGCAATGGCGCGAGGCGTGAACTCGCACTTCTCCGCTGTATGCTGCTAATGAGGCGTTGCTCTGCTTTGGGAGAGAAGTTAAAAAACGAGGCCTAAATCAAGTCGTCTTTTTATTACCAGCATAATTTTTATTTTTTTTCTCTCACAATCAGTGTAGTAGCTATATTGTCACTGAAAAAAACTCAAACACAAATGAACGAAATTAATTTTAGTCGATATTTGAATCCCATCTTTCCTCGCTGGGAAAAAAGAAGAGGAAAAGGTGGGAAAAAAGGAAAAGGAGGGGGAATAGGGCCAATTTCTGAAAACCGGGCAATTTAATTTTATACAAGAGAACGTTTGTGCACATTTCTTAAAATTTTAAGGAATTTGCTTCATAATATGCAGACAATTTATTGAAATTTGCTTACAAACATTGTATGACCGTTTTCATGTAAACAATTAAATTGCCCGGTGATAATTGGCGATAGCTGATGTGGCTTGGTTCCTTTCTGCTCAACGCGGTCCAATTGCCGCAAGCATGACGTAAACCCCACAACTATAAAAACAACCCCGATAGACGTTCGTCTCTACTCCATACATTAAAAAAAAACCCATGAATGAAAGTGAACGGATCTGTGAAGAAGCGAGACCGACAGGAGCAGAGGGTATGGCTGACTAATTAAACATCATCTGCATTCTAGATGTAAGTACGAGGCGACTGCAATTATGCATTCCGCCCCTCCCAAGTGGCAGAACAAATGAGTCGGTCCAGATTCATATTCATCGATCATTGTGTTGGCGGCAACAATGGGACGATGTCGATGTGTGCGGGAGGATGGCCTGTCAACGAGTGCGAGTGGGTCTCAGCCGCGTTCCGGCTAACTCCAAAGAGTAACTGCCGGGCTAAGGAAAAACGTCGTATGAACATTTGAGAGTTGCCAAATTTCTTTGGATAAAATATGTATTTTTTAGGAATATTATGCTTATTTTTCCTCGAAATTTTCAGATACTTTAGATTAAATTGTGGCCAAAATTGTTTGAAAGGTATAAAGAAAAATGTCAAACAAAATTCCGGTAAATTCGTTATTTATTGGAGGAGATATGGCAACGTCTGAGGGCTCATACGGCGTTCTTCCTGAGCACGGCAGTATAGTTCCAGAGACACACTCTCTGCTCATTGTCTCATTGGTCCACATCCGAGGCCGTAAATCGCGCGGCTCACTCCGAGCATCCAGTAGATCATCCGTTCCTCCTTTCGCTTTCGCAATGACATCTTTCGCGCATGCCGCCCTGCTCAGGGATAGAGGTATAGAAAGGACGATCCGATCGATGCGTGTTTTACACTTCAAACCCAAAGATTACGGGTCGTTTTCTGCGGTGCTAAGGAAAAATTCCAAATGCTATCGTTTGATACGGAAAAGTTTAACAGAAACCCACCAAGTTGGCTTCCGGAAAGAGTGGAGTTACGAGTAGTTTGGAATTCAAGTAGTAAAGCTTTTTCTGTTAAAAATTAATTCTAAGTCGAGAAAAAATATTTTGGACATTAGAATCACCGTCAAACTATGTCCTTGATATTAAGCCTTATGTAAGTATAACAATTCCAAAAATTGATGCGTTTCTGTTTTTGTCCATATGATATGAAGAGAGGAAAAGAAAAACATCTACGTCCCGGATCTACCGATGTATCGAATATCTATCGATCTTTAGATCGATGTTTGATGTTCAGTTAGGTGCAGATTTCGATGGCTCTTCATCTTTTCGAGAAACAGAGCTGATTGATGTTTTTCCGATGTCTGCACGTCAAAATGAGTGCAAACATGTGATCAAGTAGGAAAAATTAAAAAAAAAAACAAACAAACAAACAAACAAACAAACTAAGAACTAATTTTTGTTCAAAGTTAATGCCGCTCTCTTGAGTATTAACAAAACTACGCACTTCAAAAAACCTTTCTCCAGTTCACCCTATTGATTCCCTCAACATTACCTTCGGTTTATAAAGTTACTGACAACCTTATTTTAGACCCGAAGGTTGTGTTGCTGGCTCGCTCCGTGTTGCGTAGTCGATAGCCCAGTAAGTAAGTGCCGAAGCGTGAATGATCGATATCGATACCTCTTCATTTGAAGGTGTGGTAATTAAGGTGTTTGTTTCGAACACTCTGTTTATCGATCCTTTGACGTAGGTTTAAGTGACAGATCAATCGATACATCGCAAAGTACGCCACGCCGCTGGACCCAGTTTTGTTGTGCACCTTTATTATTGGTTTACATTTTGTGATTGGAGACTGCTACTTCTAACTCTCCCAGAAACGCACCTACCTGCATAGAGATGCTAATAGCACGTACGTTGTTTGTGAAATGAGCCAGAAATAGTGACGCTTCATCGCAAAATGTGGTCTAATTTTAGTTCCGCGAAAAGATGTGTCGTTTCCTATGTTCATTGGAATGCTGCTAGTCTGACCGCTGCCGAAAATTTTTCATCTAGACTTAGCAACCACATTTTTGAAATTTTGTTTTCGTGGATTGGAGAAGACAAGACTACTGTAAAATAGAGTTATATGATTGGTTTGCCTTGTTAGTTGTCCTTGATGTGTTTGTGTGTTTATTTTTGGTGGAATCGACGACAAGCAATCGGAAACTCAAAATGTGTGTTTAGTTTGTCGTTGATTGTTAAAAACATGGGCACGGTGAAGAAGACAAATGAAAGAGCCGGCCAACACATAAAACCACTTCTCCTTAGTCTTGCAAGTCCAGTCGAGAAACACGAAATTTCAAAAATCGAACCGCAGGATTCTGACTCTTATTGATAAAGTAAATAAAAAATGTTTGAGCGTAAGAGTGATCATAGAATTGTGTCTTAGTTGGACCGAGTTTAATAGAAAGGAACCAACTCATATAAAGTTGAAATTGAGAAAAAGAGGTTTGAAGGTTTATTTCTCAATAAGGCTCAATGTAGAAAATGAACTTTAGCCCATCATAACACAGACTAATTTCTTTTTCTCGACTTTGAGTTTTTGGCAGGGGAATACATACGACTAGTGGAACTCAAAAACATTCTTAACTCAATTTTTTCGAAACTGTGGGTTGGGTCCTTTATGATGAACTCGGTCCAGTTATAAGAATCTACAAATGACTGCAGCGTGAGAATTTCGCAAAAATCAATATATATTTCAATGTTGACGTAACGAATAAAGTCTTCGGAAGATTTAACATTGTGCCTTTTCGCATGTGGATCAAGATAATTTTTCAGAAGTTGTGAAAGAGAGGAGCTTTGGGAAAAATTTCGGAAAATTTTTTTTCTTGTCAACGTCTTTTGAAATATTGCAACGGTCTTAGAAATGGCTTATCCGGGAAAGATTAGAGTTTTCGGAAAACTGGTACATGGTGGGTGGAAACCAATAAGGTAGCATTTTCCAGTCAGAAGCACAGTGCAACATACCCTTGACATGCTTGAGAACGATTCCTGCCCATTTTGATGATGTTTCTTCGGTGAAACGACGAAGTTTGCCCATTTGAATGTTTATGGGGATAATGTAAAACCTATATTCATCTTTTGCCACTAGCATTGAAAATGATCGTCGATTTTTTACCAACCACAAATTTTTCGCGAGTTGAAAATACGCAAATTTGTCTGTGAAAAGGCTCTTTTTAGAAAATTGACATTAGGAGAAAATGGTCGGTGGTAGAAAAAAACTAAAAGACCATTTTCAGGTTCAGCAGCAACAATTTCACAAGCTAGTCTTCTTTCGAACTTTTGTTAAACGGAATCTCACCCTTTCTTTTAGGTCCAAGGTTAATGGATGATATTTCCATCAAGTAAATGGGCAGATTTTGTCGTTCGACCGAAGAAACCTTGCATCAAAGAGAGTTAGAAAAATGATTATAAGCTAAGCCATGGAGCATTTGATGTAGTTTCAGCCACTGATTTCAGATATGATTTTGATTTGTTTTTGTTTAACAATTTTTCTAAAAATCAAATTATCCTCGAAAAAGCCCGTTTTTAGGAGAGTTAAGATTTCCAGAGCACCTTGACATTATGGAATTATCTGGTATTTTTTTCAGATTCCAGTAAATGCCACGCTACAATCTCGGATTTTCCGTCGGAGTTGTAGTGTGGCGCCACACTCGGTGGGGCTAATCAGCGTGGCCGCTAAAATGCAGATAATTTTTACTAAAATTGATGTGTTCGTTTTAAGTAGGTAATATGTGGTCAATACATGTATCAAGTACATTTTCATTTACACGAATTCACTTGAACAGACCCACTAGAAGGCAAGCCGTTATGTTTCTAATGTAACTGTTGTCTCTCTACTTTCCTTCTCTGACTCGTGAGGTAGCGTTAGCGTATTTGTATAGCAGTGCTCCTTTTAAACGCCTATAACTAAACGCTTGGATCTTGCGCAAGTTTTAGGCTTGAATTTCCTGCCTGTGAATAAAGGAGGATTCCTCAAAATTCTACTCCTTCATTATGGATTTTTTATCACTCTTCTCCAAGATAAAAAAATATTGGGCCTTCAAAAAATTTGTGCCCCATGGAGCTGATAGGTTTGCTTTTGGGGAAATCAGGCTGTGGAGTAACTTCATGGTATTTGGAGCAGTGCATTATTTTGAATGAACCCTCGAAAATAACAATGACAAACTTCAGTTTTAAAAATTCAATTGACTAAATTTATTCACCTAAATTTAGATTCAAAGATGACATGGATGTGGCGAAATAATTTACACGTATGTACAAATGATACTTAACATGACTAAGGTAAAAAATGAGATGATTTAGTCTTTAGGAAAGTGTTGCTTGCGCGCCTATTTCTTGTAGGCGGGGGCAACTGGGTACGCTGGGGCGGCGTATTTGGGGGCGTATGAAGCGGGGTGAGCACCTCCTTCCTTGTGGACTACGGCTTCGAAACCGTAACCGTTGTCGGCGTAAGTTACTACTCGCCTGCTACCGTCAGCTTCGACGAGGGTGTAGGATCCCTTGACGTAGTCTCCGTCACGCTCTTCTTCCTGGCTCTTGACATCGTAGGTGGATGGGTCGTTGATGTCGTAAGCGAATTTGTAGGCGGGGTGGGCATCGGGGTAGACGGGCTCAGCGGCCTTGTAGGCGGGGGCGGCGTAGGCGGGTTTGTAAGCTGGGGCAACGTAGGCGGGTTTGTAGGCAGGGGCGACGTAGGCGGGGGCGTGGTAAGCGGGGGCGGCGTAGGCGGGAGCGGCGTATGCGGGAGCTACTGGTTTTGAGACGTAGGCGGAGGCGTATGCTGGAGAGTATGCTGGTTTATAGGCGGGGGCGGCGTATGCTGGGGCGGCATAGGCGGGTTTGTATGCTGGGCCGTATTGGCAGTTGACGATAGCCACGAGGGCAGCCAAGATGCAAAGCTGAAATCAGAAAATGCAGAATTATAAGCTACTGAATCGTTTAATTTCGTCAGTAAAATTTAGCGGAGATTTTTAGGCGTTTAGTCAAATAGGGAAGTAGGTTGACAAAAGTCTTAGGAAATTAAAAACACATTAAGCAGGTAGAGGTTGTTGGTCATGTGGTTCGGTGGAAAAATTAGCTCCGTAACATTAGAGAGTATATTTTGGTACAAAATACCGAAAAGACCAACATAGCTGAATGTAGCGAAAATTTACTTCTCTTTTTTAACGTCCGTTCCCGAAAGTAAATACTAGCCGTCAAAAGTTTATTTTTTTATATCTTTTTTTTACGATTCATGTTGAACATAGACACACCGTTTGGATTCGTTTTCTATTAACTCTGAATCTTTTTCAAAATTTTAAAGCCAAGACCTGTAACCATTGCATTATTCTTTATTAATACGAGGAACTTGAGCACACCGTGAAAAGGAGCCCCTCAAAATATAACAGTTGATCAGGGATAAGGAAAAATCAACAGCATTCCTAGTTTCTTTAAATTTTAGCTTATCGAAAATTATGTCAGTCGGTCTTGATAAACACTTGCAAAATTTTGAATTCTGTCACCAATTGAAAATTGAAGTTAAGTAAAGAATTCTATTTTCCCACAAGTATACGTCGTAGTGGTGTACTGATAAAGTCACAAGAAAAGAAAACACGCGAAATGCGATGCTTTAAAATTTTTGCATATTTTACATTGCGTAATTTACATTTCAATAAAACATAACCTCGTAATCGTCCATTTTATTTGAAATTAAGGACAAAGGAAAATTCTGTACATTTTGTTACAATCACAAGAAATGTGAAAAAGAAGACTTGCAACGTTGCAAACTGACATTCAGGGTGTTTTCCATATCACCAATGATATATCTTGCCTCGCATTTGTGAAGAATCATGGTTTACCGAACGAGTTAAAATTGTATTTAGAAAGTGAAAAAAATAACGAATTGAAACGTGTGGTGATGAAACGTAATGTGATCTTTGTCTAAGAATATTTGCAGTTCAAAATTCCTCCGTCTTTGAAATTCCCATCCACTCTAAATCTCGCGATCTTGAACTTTACCAACACTTAGTATGTAAATTTTAAAAGTAAACGCGATAGAACCTGAAAAAAGACATCCTCGTAGAACAATTAACAGAGCAGAAACAAGAAAGAAAAAATTGGAGTGACTTTAATTGGCGTAAATCACGACGTAATCTATCATAGAACTGTAGTAAAGGTGGTTCACTGAACTTAGTCTCAGAATGTGTCTGCATGACCAATTTAAAAAAGTTTCAGACGAATGCGCTCAATGCCGTTGAAAAATTAACCCTTTCGTACACCAATTCTTTTTGAATTCTCATTATTGGTTAAGGTTGTCTTCGCCGGTAAATTATCAAAGAGATAATTTAATTTTCTTTTTTGTCAAATTTCTAAAAGCCTTTTTCTGAGAGGTTGTGATTGAACCTCATTTATTTTAGAACTCATGATAATTAACCTTGGAGTATATTAGTACAATGTATTGGTAAAATGAAAAAAAAGAGAGAGAGAGAGAGAGAAAAAAAATAAATTAGATGATTTTGTGGCTTAGATGGAGTAATGTATTTTGCAGTGAGATTCCTATCATTCATATTAGCCCTTCAATATTACAGGTGAACGGTTCGTAATAACATAGTAATAAGAGTTTAGAGGGTATGGTAAATTAATGTTAATGTCTGGCTGATCTGCATGCAAAATTGATTACCACTTGAATTTTTGTTTATGTATTGTTTACTTAAGTACAAATCGATGTATCATTCTTTGCAATGTTTAAACAAGAAAGTAATACGTGATATTTGTGGTAACTTATTTTCATCGAATGTAAGTTTGTATTCTTTTAAACTAAATATCTAGAGATTGCTAAAGGAAATGCTAAAATTTACCCTGGGAATTTATTTTATAATATATTTTAATCTGGAAGTAAATTCACACCTCCGAATTTTTAAACTAAATACTACGAGTTGTGACACTAAATTTGACCTCCTTTTTCTGTTAGATACTATGTTTTGATGTACGAAGAGAAGGATGTGTACGTAAATATGTAAGTAATGAAAATTAATAACAATATAAGAATTTAGGTAAAGTAATTTTACGAAACTTTAATTTCAGATGATTTGATTTATTCCCAGGCAAAATTTATTCAATTATTCTTTTCCCTACTCGGTTTTCCTCTGAACTTCATTTCCTACTTTGTCACAACACTTCACCCAATTTTTTTTACGTATTAAAATGCAGATCAGTGCAAGTTGTGTTTTTTGTAAGAACTGAATGAGTAAGCAAAAGTTTATCATGCTGTCATTTTTCGTATTTACATCCACTTAGTTATAAAAAAACATGTTTCACTTTGATCGAAGTGTATTAGATTTTAGGAAGGTTATCATCACTGCGAGCAAGAAAAAAGACGTTATCCATGAGTCGAGTCCACAAAACCGATCACTTGAAAAAAAAAAGTCAAAAGTCCATCAATCACTAAACGCACAAAAAATCGGAACAGCGGCAAAAAACCGAATCACACCTGAGAACTTGAACGTACCTTGAAAGCCATTTTAGACTAAAAAAGCGACTAAAAGAAGAGCGACGTGTGTAGTTGCGAACTAGGAGATTAACTGTAAATTCGGGAGACGGGCTAGTGGAGTTTTATAGTTGAGACGAAGGGTCAAGTTATCTATGGCGGGCCTTGACACTGGCCTGGTCTTCAATTCATTCGAAAGGGAGCTCGAGATGAATTTATCAGGTATGTGGGGGTTGTGGTAGGGGGACCTGGAGACCAGGGAACGGGCCCCCTGCGGGAGGCAGGGGGGCTAGCATAATTGCATAACTATTGACGTGTGGTGCCCCAGCGGATGACGGCCTCCCGTCGTTGTCGAACTTATTTGATAACACTGCATAGGTAAATCAATTTGAATACGTCATCTATGGTCATCTCAGATTCATCATAATTTTAAAGAGGAGATCGATTTCTCTGAGAACACCTGTAGCTCAGAATATTTATGCTATAGCTGTCCTCTATATTGTAGGATTTGATTAAATAAGCTTCCATCTTTGAAATATTCCACGTGAAGAAGTGATTTTTAAACCAAAATGCATTTTTTCAGCTCAAAAATTATTTGTCTGAGTTAAAGAAAAAATTTCGTATTGAACGAACGATTTTTCTCAAGTGGAAGATATTGTTTCAAATCAAATGATTTTTTTTTTTTTTTTTTTTTTTTTTTTTTTTTTTTTTTTTTTTTTTTTGAAGTTTAAAGACAAATAAACCACAATTTACAAAATTACATTTTTAGAACAGAATTTCAAGAAAATTAAACAGATCAGCTTCGTTTGAAATAAATCATATCATTTCACTAATGAAAAAAGAAGAGCCTCGTTTTTTATTGTAATAAGTAATCAGGCAAGACTCCTTCATTTTTTAAAACATAAAAATCTGAAATTTAAATTTATTCTATTTTTGTACTTCTTTCATGTAACTTGTGCTCCCTGACACTCTAAAATTTAATGGCCCGCGTTCTATATTTCTCCCAAAATGTATGAACTCTCTCCCTGACACCTCAAAATTTTATGTTACAACTTATTTTTTTCTGGAGCCTTATTTAGTCAAAAGTTGCTTTGGATACATCGTTGTGTTATACTACACTAAAAAAACGAAATACCTCGGATCCAGAGTTCAGACTTTTGAAAAATTTGACAAGAAAAAATACTCTTAATTCAATCGGATTTTTGCTCGAATCAAAAGGAAATCCACATAAATTAAGATGCTTGAATCTCAATTCAAGATTGACCCGGTTGAATCAGGAGCATTTTTTTCTTGTCAAATTTTTCAACAGTCTGGACTCTGGATCCAAGAGACTTTTTTTCCCAGTGCACCAATACATATATAAAAAAGAAAAGAAAACAAAAGAAGAAAGAAAATATTGAGCCCAAAATATTATTTATATTAGAGATCATCTTTTTCTAAAAATTGAGAAAATGTTTATAGCCGTTTTCTCGAATGTATGGGAGGGTTTTGAGGCCCCGTCAAATTTGAACAACTTGGCTCCGTTTCGTGTGGTACGACGTTGCTTTAGCGAGCCCTGCGGTCCTCGGTGGAAACAAATTGTTCGCATTTTAATTAGGGGGGCGTTCACTCTCGTTTTTAGGTTGATCTGGATCGTAACAGATTCGGGGGGACTCGGACCACGGCCCCAGGTCCAAGCTGTGGCTGAAATTTGTCATCGAAATATGGCGGGCTCCGAGCATGTTACCTGCATTGATTTTGTCTGGCCGTAATTATATGGTGAAGCATGTGAACAACAGCTGTCCTATTAGATCAGATTATTTCAGCACCAGTCGACTTTTTGTAAAGTTTGATTTGATTTTACTGAGAAGAGTGGCCGAAAGAATATGACGCTAATGATTTGGAAAGATCTGTAAAAGATAGGATCATACTACGAGAGGCAGCGATTCCAAGCAAGAATTGATTTTCATCGTATTATTTATTGTCATCAACTCTTTATCTCAATGTTAACTACACATAGAAAATACTTGATTAAATTCCAAGGCAATACATTTGGTACAAATCGCTGCAAGGTATCATCGAGAGGGTATTACGAGAAAAAACGAACCCAATGGTTCACTGAATCGGTTTAGTATACAACAAGTGAAGTTCGAAACCTGATAGGATTTGTTTCTTTTTTCCAAACTTGTACTCTCATTTGGACTGAGTTTATCAGAATTGAAACAACCCACATTTTCGGATAAATTTGAGATAACCATGTATTGAGCCCCACTAGGTGTATATTTTCTCCTGCCATAAACTGAAAGTTAAAAACCCGAAATTAGTCTGTATAAAGAGGGTTTAAAGTTCATTTTCTACATTGAGCCTTTTGCAGCAGTAACACTTCAAGCCCCTTTTTCTCAGTTTCAACTTCGTGTGGGTTGGTTCCTTTCTGATGAACTCGGTCCATTTGATTTTCATGTACCCACTGATTTTGACCACTTATGGCATCGATGAAATAGAAGGTCCCTGGGACGCGGTGCAATCGCAATGTCCTGCAACGGTCGACGAGTCTCACCATAAATTATTCCCTCCTCAGGTGGAGTGTGCAGTATCGCTCAAGTGGAACGCCGCATGTTATTGAAATTTATTTCCTCAAAGGAAATTGGAGCACTGTCACGAGTGATATCTCAGCGGGAAGAAAGTTCATGGACAGGGTCGCAAGGTGTCTCTCATTGTTCACCATTTTTGCCGTTTTATTGCTCCGCGTTTTGATGCTTACTCGAGATTCGTTGGTTTGCTGCCAAGCCTCGTCTCTACCTCTCCATCGTATTTTCAGATGCAAGTGCGCAGTCAGTAGAAATAGAAATAATGTTTCAAGTTACACATGGTGCTTACAGGGCTCATAAACTGGGAAAATCGGGCATCGTCAGGATAATTTGAGATAGAGTACCTATATAGGGAGAGTATTGACAACTCGAAATATGTAGCTCTTAGGGCCCAAAAGGGTAGGTAACCTTTGAGAACGAAAAATGTCACTGTCAATCTTTAGACTCCAATATCAAACGAAAATTGACATGAAAATTCACAAGTAAGCATTCCTCCGCAAGAATGAGTAATTTTATGCAAAAACCAAGTCAAATACGTGCTTTATCAACGACAGTTCCCAATAATTGCGATTATAAATCACTCTGGATAATTTGAATTCATAGATTGCCTACCCTTTTGGGGTCTAAGAGCATCACCTAACCTGAAAATGTTCGACATGTCCATACTCTCCCGCGTTTAGCAGAAAGGAACCAAGCCACGTTCGCTATTGCCAAATTTAACTGGGATATTTTATTTTTTACGGAAGAACATTTCTGCGGATTCCTCCGCACATTTTAAGGAATTCCCTTCGTACGATGCAGAAAATTCACTGTTTGCACCACAATCCGCACAGCCGTTTTCATCAAGAAACTTAAATTGCCCAGTTAAATTTGGCAATAGCTGATGTGGATTGGTTCTGTTCTGCTTAACGCGGTCCAAGTTAGAGCATTTTACAAAAAAACCCGGAAATTCGGAAAATACCGCAGCGTCAGGTTTTTTTTGCAATGAAATTGAGTTTTAGAACGATTCAGAACTATGTGCTCTGGGTTTTCAAAGTTACATTAGCTTAACTCCGCAGGAGAGGGGACACCAATTTAAATTGAGACTGCAGGGCCGGGTGAAACGATATGAGTATGCTAAGCTGAAATCGCTCCACCGGACAACTGATTTTTGCATTTGGCACATGTACTTACAGGTGTACTAAACCAGATTTAAACACCAACTTTAATCGATGTGAAAAATTTCTTGCCAAAGGAAGGCAGCCTGATTTAAGACTGTCTTGAATGCCATTCGCGCAACCTACACGATTTTTCCATCTTCATTCACAGTTGGTAAATAAAACACGTTTTGATTTTCTATTTTTCACGGTTCGGTAATATTTACATTCATTTGCTTTGTGTGTATTCATCGCGTAACGTTCATAAGGGCACTTGAAACAGTGTATGACCTTTATCGAAGCACTTCATTCAGTGTCATTTTCAGTCATGAGCGGTCTAAACAAATGTCACAGGTCATTGAAAGGATAGAAAATGCCTTAACAAGTGCACCAAAACTGAATTGCAAAAAGACTCCGTTAACGTTTGATAAGCTCTAAATTTGCGACTCAAGTTAGCAAGTAGAATGTTTCCCGGGCGAAAAATTAAGAACCATTCCTTTCTATGGCAATTATTTCATAGCTTGTATCAAAAGTGCTTGTACAGTACTGACCTCAAAAAGGTCAGAGCCTTTTTTCTCACTAACCGTGCACATTACCACACGACTGGTAGCGCAGATCTATACCTTAAATGTCACAGAGGCCCTGACGCATATCGAGGGTCTCAAAGCTGAGCGACCGATCGATTGTTAAAATCGATTTTCGATTCCTCAAATTTTGATTTCTTTTAAAGTGGAATCGTGTGATTGATCCCTTCGATTTCGAGCAATCGCACTCTTGGCACGGCCGGGTGCACGAGGAGTTGGGCTCAAATGAGCGCGAAAAAGCCAGAACAATCATGATTTATTAATTATCGGGTTAATTATACCAACATTAATTTCGATTTGCGATTTGCGTTGGGCCATGCGGCTGGCTTTAACGTACCACCGTGGCTTAATCCAAGTTTAATAACAATAATAAATAACGCACAGCGTAATAACATAAATTTTCCCGTGGATATGTGGAGTACGTTTACGCGGCGATGCCGGGTCACGCGGCAATGGTCAGCAAAGTGGCCTGGCGTGCTTTTCGATCTATCGATTGATCTTTCATTTAAACCTATGGAAAAGGATCGATGAATAGGATGTTCTCAACGGAAACCTTAATGATAGATTCTTGTCACAGCTTTAAATGAGGAAATATCGATAATCGATCATTCACACCGCGACGCCGCGCCACTGGGTCAGTATTGGCATTCATAGGAGAGAGGAAAATTAGTGCACTATAAAAAAAACCATTGGATCTAGAGTCCAGAATCTTGAAAACATTGACAAGAAAAAGGACTCTTGATTCAATCAGATTTAAGCTTAAATTAAAAGGAAATCCGCTCAAATTAAGAGGCTTGGTTCTTAATTTAAGCTTAAATCTGATTGAATCAAGAGTATTTTTTCTTGTCGATGTTTTTAAGAGTCTGGACTCTAGATCCAATGTGTTTTTTTCCAGTGTGTGTTTGTTCTTTCTACTGTAAATTACGTTGTCAATGTGGATTACCAAAGATTCAAGTTTTGTCATTAAGATACTAGAGGTTTCCTCAACTTCAATCTAATTTGAATTTTAAAAAAAACACAAATGGACAGAATTAAGACAATTTTTGTATGCATATGTACGATGGCTCCTATAAAAATGTGAATGACACTCTTTTGCTGAACGTTTTGTCTGATTTTAATTTTCGCCCCGAGGAAATTAGAACGATGATCTAAGCGGTTTCGATACTGACAATATGACTGATTAGGAACAAACACTGATATAGCTATAGTTTCTGTCCCGGTTAATTTTAGATTCCTAGAATTGAAAATTGAAAGTTAGAGTAAGTAGATTAATAGAATCCCTAACTCTCAAAACACATTTTTGACATTGAGAAGCAACGTATGTTTCTATCTAGCGTTTTGCACGGATCTTTTCAAATCATCCTCATATTTTGCGTTTTGTCTTCTTCATTTGGAACCTTCTCTTTATCCTTAAATCCTTTTCCTGTTTTACCGTCCTTTTGTTTCTTTTTCTTTTTCCCCCAAATATTCTGTATCTTCACTCTAATTTATTGGACTCTTAAGAGTTTATTAGGTCTTTCTAAAGTCTTAACAAACGTATGAGCTTGTTAAATATGTTTGTTTTGTTCGAAGTGTTATTGCCAAGTCTCTTCAAATAAATATTATTTGAAGCACCGAGCAGAATTCCCACTGAAAATCTTAGTTGTTTTTCCTATCTTTGCGTTAAAGTCACTTCCATTACTCCTGGTTCCCCATAATTAATTAGTGTGCTTGATAACACATCTTTGTCTCTAATAATAATTTGACGAATTCGACCAGAAGTAGCATAATTAATAATACGTTGTCTAACTTCTTCTAATGTTTTATTTTTTACCAGAAATTTAAGCAAAATGCTGACTTGAATAAAGCTTGCAATCTCAGAATAGTGTAATGTTCCAATTGTTCCATAGTTCCTAGTCACAAAAATGGAACACGAGAAGGCAACGTGAGATGCAGCTAGGCTAATTCTAGCTAAAGTCACCCAATTGAACCAGGTTTTAGCTCAATGGCTCTATAATATTCCCGCTTTTAGTATTTAATCATAAACAGAGACACTAGAGAAAATAGTGAATCCTGTAATACGATAGCGGTTTGTCAAAAAATATTTTTTCTCTGTTTCCAAAAGACGAATTTGCAATAATTTTATGTCAAATTTTCAAAGCATGTATTACGAAAATAGGCCAAAAAAATAAAATGAAAAGTATCATGAATTTGATACCGCTCCTATTCCTTTATAAAATTTAACTATGAAAGGGATTTTTAACATTGTAAGCACCGAGTTTCCTATTTTTTCCTTAGTTGGACAAAACTCGTGCCATTTTTACAGCTCACGAAATATGAAACAGTTTCCTCCACACTTTTAATTTTTGTGTTTTGAAGAATTACTTGTCGCTGAACCAACAAAATTAAAATTTTCAAATTCACACTGAGAAAAAAACCATGGTTATTATTGCCATACTAATGGTGTTCCGTATGAAATTTTAAGTAAGAGTAGCGATCAAAATTAACTGTGGTATTTTTACGACTAAGCTGGTAATTTAACCAGTACGTTCATAAACTTATCATTCAATGGTAAAATACTAATATTATTGGTTGTAGTCTTTATTTATGAATCGCTTGTAAGAAAAACTGCTGATATAGTAATTACAATCATGATTTTTCTCAGCACATTGAAGGAACTTTTTTTTCTGTCAAATAAAAACTTAGTGCTGTTTCTGAAGATCTTAGGAATGGGATCAGGATTAAAAACGTTCAAGCTTGTGGTTGACTCAAATAATTTATTAATTTAACGCGGCAAATGTAAAAACAATGAAAACAATACCTGAGGACTATTTACAAATGGAGCATGACTAGTTTAGATGAGTCGGAAGTTGTGTGTTTACTTCTTCTTGTAGACGGCGACGGGGGCAGCGGCGTAACCGTGTCCGTAGGCGGGAGCGGCGTAGCCGTGTCCGTAGGTGGAGGCGTAGGCGGGGGCGGCGGCGTAACCGTAAGCTGGAGCCTTGTAGACGGCGGGGGCAGCGATGGCGTGTCCGTAGGCGGGGGCGGCGTAACCGTAAGCTGGGGCCTTGATGACGGCGGGAGCGGCGGCGTAACCGTAAGCTGGGGCCTTGTAGACGGCGGGAGCAGCGACGGCGTGTCCGTAGGCGGGAGCGGCGTAACCGTGTCCGTAAGATGGAGCGTAGGCGGCTACTGGGTGGGCACCAGCTTCCTTGGTGACGACGGCTTCGAAACCGTGTCCGTTGTCGGCGTAGTGGACGACGCGTTTGCTGCCGTCAGCTTCGACGAGGGAGTAGTATCCCTGGACGTGGTCACCGTCGCGGGTCTCTTCTTGGCTCTTGACGTCACCGGTGTGGGCGTCGTGTACGTTGTAGGCGAATTTGTAGGCGGGGTAGGCGTCAGGGTAAACTGGGGCGGCGTGTCCGTAGGCGGGGACGGCCTTGGCGTAACCGTAAGCTGGAGCAGCGTAGCCGTAGGCCGGGGCGGCGGCGGCGGAGTAGCCGATGGAGGGGGCTGCGTATCCGTAAGACGGAGCAGCGTATCCGTAAGATGGGGCTGCGGCGTAACCGACGGATGCGACTGGTGCGTATCCGGCGGCAGCGACGGCCACGAGGGCGGCTAAGATGCACAGCTGTCAACAAAATCAACATACATTCGGTGTCAGTCACGGAAATCACAAAAACACGAATCAAAATCTGACATATTTTAAGGTGGTAATGTAGGACTAGCAAGTAGTTTTAATAATCCAAGTTCAGTGTATATCATCAAATTTTCATTTTAAGTGGGTTATACCAATATCATCTTAATTCTAGGTTTGAATTCGATCCAGTTTTTGATAGGAATAACACGAGAGATTAAAAATAGGGTACATTTTCTCTTCACATTCTTAAGGTTTTAACTCAATACTCATGCTAATCGTCGTCTTTAAAATTTTGTAAGCTAGTGGATTAATTTGGCACCGCAGAAAATGGATCATTTTTATCGTTTTTGAAGTGGTCTTTGCAATAAGAATTTTTGAAATGTCTCAGTTTGTACCAACAATCGATATTAAGCAGAGTTTTGGAAAAAGTTGAAAAAGTAATCTAATCGAAATAGTTTATTTTTGAGTTTGAGCTCTGGAAGAAGGGATTTTATGAGAATATGAAACTTAAGACTGAAATATATGTATGTATGAAAAGACTGAATATATGTATCAATATTATTATTTTTTTATTTTTAAGGAATTAATTTTGTTTTATCAGAGGCAAAATCGTACGGAAACTGAGTAAAATTGTTTTGAACATACCTTGAAAGCCATTTCGGAGTGTTGGATGTGATGGTTTGAAAGATGGGAGATGAGTGAAGATTGCTGAGTCTTGCGTTGGTTTTATACTAAAAATTGTCGAACTAGCGGAAGCCTTGGCATTGATCTGAGGTTGAACGGAAGTGACAAGAAGCCGACAAGCGCGATATTCGTTCATAAAAAAAAGGTCCAAACAGCTTCGCAATATGTTTCCCCACAGGACAAGCCAATGTGATACAAATGACCATCGATACGTGGCATTACATGAACGCGTATGAACGGAGGATATACAAAAAGTATCCGCATAAGGTGTAATTAGATTCGAAGGAAAAAGGCGGTAGCTTTTTAGCACACTGTTGCCGTTCATGAAAAAAGTAGCTAAGAATAGACAACTTCCACGCTCGATTAGAGACATGCATGCCAAGAGCCGACCGATTTTTGAAATTGATACACAAAGTTATACACAAAGAAAACACTAATATGAAGGGATCCTTGGGATCCTGTTGGTGGAAGCAGAGGGTGGTTGCAATTGGCAAAGGAGGTAGGTGATAGACTAACGGCAGTCCATGAGAGACCCTTTACATAGTCCATCATTTTCTCGCCTAGTCCACGGGAACCACCCATTTCAACTAATTGGATTGGTTCATATTCTCTATGTCTTCTTTGTCTGTCTTTTTGCCTATAAATTTCAATAATCAGCCCGCAGATGGATATTCATAGGAAAAATGCATGAATAATGAAAAATTTCAGAGGAAATCGATCTTAACGTTGAGGTGATCCCATGTATATCATCGTTTTTCAAACCTTAATATCTCAATTGTTGACATTTTTGTCGCATAATTTTGTTAATCGAACCGTTTAGAATATTAGAGTAGCATTATAGAGTAAAACAACTTACGGTAAGTATCTATTCCCCCAGGTATATTGTGCTCTTTCTAAGCAGGGTAGGAGGAGGAGATACTAATACGGCGAAAAAGGAATCATGTGGCTTTCAAAATTTCTTCGGTGAATTTCAGGCTCTACATAGAATTTCACTCATAGCTGTACCTATAGTTTTACTTCTGCGGTAAAAATTATCTCTAACAATTCCTCGGTACCCGTAACCATGCAGCATTGTCATCATGACTGAAAGAATGAACATCACAAAAGAGAGTAGAATTCCAGGTCAGACCGAAGATCTACCATAATCATTGTAATAGTGCATCCCTAAACTTCCTGGTTATTTGATTAATACGTGAATGGTATAACTAAACTCTCAGTAAGATGCACAACTTAGTGGAGGAAAATAACCAAAATGCGGTCATTTAGCCACAATTTCAATGAAAATAATGGTTTTCTTTCTATATTATATTTTTGTATTGTTATTTTTTTCACCCTTCGACGATATTTCTTTCGACCAGAAAGTGTGGGTGCTCAACCATAAAAATATGCAACGTTTCAATATTCTCTTCAAATCGCGCTTTATTTATAAAGCGAATCGTTGTAGCGATCATTTTAATAATTATTTTTCCTTTTATTTCATTCGTGCATAATTTTTTTAAACTTTAATCTTTATGGCTCAAAATTAAAAAGTAAGGAAGGGTACCGAACTAACTCAAGAGCGGCTCGCCTAACAAGGTACTGTTTTTTCAATGTAAGCCATGTGTTATCTTCCATTGAGATCAAAATAATGTGAACGCCGCTTGAATTAAGGTTTGTCTCCAGCAGTCTCTGGCAACAGTGAGACATAAATTTTTGTCATTTTTTGTTCCAAGCGAGCAGTAAATCGTTCAAGATGCTGATCTCACTTAATTCCGATTTTTTCGTTCAAGTATAGGCAAAGCATCGGCAAGAACATATGAAGTGCAAATTAAAGAGAAAAAAAAACTTTTAAGCCTTATCAGAATGATTAATGCCACCAGAACCACTCTTGCCACCTTAGGAGGACAATCCAGGTTTGTCGGACTTTATTGTATGAACCGGTTGATTATTTCTCTCAATTTGGCCTCTCTAGTCGATGGATGGAATTGGTGACAGTTTTTATGTCACCTATTTTGCACCAATGTGTCTGTAGGGTTCATAATCATTGGTTTTTTTGGGAACGATGACGCACAACCAAAAAGAAGGGTGAAGTAAAAAATGTGACTGAGCCATTGAACTTGTCACCATGAGATGAGATTACCTACTTTTGTTGGAAATGTTCTCGTTATTTGGAGAAAAATCATCATTACCCAGTTTACCGCATGATCAATTCTTTGTCAGAGCTGAGTGTTCTAATTATTACTGCAGGTGAAGGAGTCGTCTATGAAATTTCTTAAACACATTCTTACTTTCGAGGGAGGTTTCCAGAAGCTTTCATAACGACAATAATAAATATCCTCTTTTAATCATATTTATGTTTCTAGTTTATTCTACAGGTCATGTAAAAATATATTTCTTTGTTGTGAAGTTTCAGCTTCGTTTTTTTGGTTTTATTTATTTTTGTTCTTTAGTGTCATAGAGGTAAGCCCATAGTTCTTTTAAATTATGAAATACACAAAGGTGAATCATTACTTCTGTTGTATCAGCTGTGACGATTAAAATCAATAAAGAACTCAGAAACCCTCAGTAATTAATTTCTGCAAAATCGCGTTTAGCCATAAAGTCCTAAGCGTTGTACTTTACAAGTAGATAATTTTTTTCGGAAAAGTTGTATGATTCCACTTTTTCATTCTTTCTTTTCATTACAAAAATGAAAAAATGATCTCTAGACTTGAATAAAATTTAACGATTTCTGATTTACCAACTAGGATTCATTTCTTTAAATGAATATTTTCGAACGAAAACTTTAATTTTTGATCACTTCAATTCAAAATAGAGAGCATGGTTGTTTTACTTTCGCGATGTGTAGGTTGAATTTTAACAAACCTTTCCGGTTTTTTAATACTTTTTTCATATCATGCCGATTTAACTTTGATCATGTGAAAATCACTTTTATCGTATATTTGTGTTTGTTCTATGTTCTGAGATTGAAAATGATTCTTAAATTTTCAGTAACACTACACAGAGGAGTCTTAACTTCCATCTGTTATAAATGCATTTTACCTCATAGTCTGATTATCAAATTGGTGACTTATAACTAGGTTTTATATTTTTTCTAATGTCAGTGTTTTGACGGTGCACTATATTTTCGGATAAAAATCGTCACTTCTACTTTAAATCTGATCGTAAATTATTTAGGACAAACTCAAATCTTGTATTGAGTTAAATGTCAAAAATCAAAGGCGGAAGAGTGGAAATTCATATTTTGATGGAGTGACTAAAAAGTGTCTGTCCGAATTGAAATTTGCGTTCAATTTAAGAAATTTTGAGGAGAAAAAAATTGAAAAAAGGGGGGTGAGATTTGTGTAAAAATTCGCCATTGTTGAATGCGCTAAATGCGGATCTCTTAAAGCAACTAATGATTGTAATTTGTCCTGAAATCGGTGTGATTTTTCTAAGAGGATTGAAGAATTTTCAAAAGAAAGTTCAATGAAAACCGTTAGTTTGTTTTCCTTCAAGAAAAATGAGCAGAAACTTTTATAATGTCGCAATTTAAGTTGCACATTTTCCGACTTAAGGCATCGATATTGAATCCTCCCGTGTGATTTAAGTGTCTCCTTTAATTCTTCTTCGTTAAATCTTATTTCATTCACTTCATTTCACAGGAATTGTTTTGTCATCTAGAGACGAATGAAAACAAAATTAAAGAATAAGCAACTCAGCAAACCATTACTTTTTATTTAGTCATTCAAGGGAGTGTGATTTTTGCAAATAGACCCTTTCATAGAAGTGCATCAAAATAAGCAAATACGTTAATCTATTTAACTTCATGTTTAAGTCACGTGATTTCATGTCAGTTCCGTTGTTTAATTGAAATGATTTTTCGTTTTTCAAACATATGAGCTGAGCATATGAGTACGAATGATATGATACAAAGCTGCTCTGATCTAATCCAATGAAATATGAAAAAAAAATCGAACAAAAAATTAAAAGGAATGAACCTAGCCGGGCATTATCAGATAGGTTGATTTGCATATGACTAGCCATCATCTGAATGACACTTCATGTTCGTCTGGTTTCCGTAATTTGGAGTGATTTCAGAAGGAAGGAGGTGTCCACTAGAAAGCAAAAAGCAAGGAAGTTGTCGTTGTTTTTTTTATGTATATATATATTATATATCCTTTACATTATTTACCTAACCCTGACCTGGATCTCTTTTCGGACGACGCGGTGTCTGCGGTGAAACAAAAAACGATTTTAATTAATTCTGTCCAAGAGGATTGATCAAAAATGCCGACCGAGAGCCGAAGTGTTGGTAATGAGAACTACTGCAGGTATTTAAAGCTGATTGGTCCATAAGGCATGCTCCGTTTTCCTCTTGAAGTATTTTGAAAGTCATGCAAATTTCTTCAATTGAGACTTCTGAAATTTCGTAAAACGGTGATGTCATTCATTTAAATAATGCCTTGCCCTTGCTGTTCTCGTCAATAAGAAAAAGCTATTCGATTACGGGGACTGGACTTCGGTGTCAGTTGTAGTGACTTTTCGCTATTTGGACCAAACTTTCGTTTTTTTTGACTGAAAACTTCAGTTATCTTAACTGGAAAAACTCGGGTTTTCAAGATGAAACTTTTTTCTATGTTCAATTTCGATTTCTATTATTTTACTCACAATGATTTTTGAATTCGGCCAAGACTGCACATTTTTTGAAATTGGACGGCGTCAAGCAGAAAACACCAAGCTACTTCAGTCATTGCCAAATTGAACCAGGCAATTTAATTTTTTACGTGAAAACGATTGTTCGGATTTTTGTGCAAAGTTCAGTGAAGTGCATAGTACGAAGCAAATTCCTTGAAAATGTTCAAAGAATCCGTGAAAACGTTCTCTAGTAAAAAAATGATATCGCCCGGTTAAATTTGGCAACAGCTGATGTGGCTTGATACCTTTCTGCTGAACGCGGTCCAATAATAAAACTTCGCACCACTGAGTCCAAAGCCGAGCTCAGGCCGAAAGGGGCGGTAAAGAGCATACCTACGTTTCCCCTACGTAGAGTTTGTCATCAAAAATTTGAATCCAATTTTCCGACACACACACACAGCTACACGTAAATCGCTCAACTTATTTTTTGTCTTTTTTACCGAGGTAACAGTTAGCTTTTCCCGTGGCTGTCTCATATACTTTTTATGTTATTTTATATCTTATTACAATCGACTTTTTCGCTTCTTCCTCCCTTTTATTTTCTTTTCTCCGGTCGCATCTTTGAAGAAAAGAATCTTTTCAGTTCAAAGTGATCTAACAACGGCACCGTTGAATTAGTTTTTTAATAATTGGAAAATCCATTTAATTACCTCATGATATATTTGTATTATTACCACATACTATCTACGTTTCTAAGAAGTTTTTTAGTCTTACAAATAACGCAAATAACTTCAAAAATCATTCACAACAACATTTGAGTTATGTTAGCTTCATATGGTACGTCACACAGTGGATCAAGTCAATTAGAGAGGTAGGACATGACATTTTTAAGTAAAACTGCAAAGATGTGCATTCTTTCTCATTTTAAATGATAAGGGCTGGGTTTAAAAGAGAATTTCACGAGGAAGCAGGGCCGGATTAAGGTGGTGGCCACATTGGCCGCGGCCCATGGCGGCAAATTTTGCATTTTTTTAAAAATTTAGGTATAAAAAAAATCGTATTCAGAAAAAAAATTATCAATGAGAAAAGGAGACAAAATTTCTCTTTCCTGAGTGTATAGGAATTTCTAATCTTGTCGTTTTTCGGTGATACAAGAGACAGCATCTTTAATTAGTTGAGGTAAGAGAGGAACTAAACACGCAATTTGGCCTGGAGCTCAGCGCAGAGAGTAATGATGACGAGGACTTGAGATGAAAAGGACAAGCCCCCGGCGCGGCCCGGCGGTCGGCATGTAACACATATTAGCGCCTACAAGACTACATGAATACTTCACCCATTGCGCCAAACACAGTGTGGTTAGGAGCGGTTCCCATTGCGCCAAACACAGTGTGGTTAGGAGCGGTTGGCGTGAAACGCATAGCGCCTACAGGACTGCAGGAATACTTCACGCATTGCGCCAAACACAGTGCGATCAGCGTGGCGCGGCGGCGGATGTTAAAATTATTAAGCCATATTTACGTTTGTTTTTCTGTAATTTTTTGGTTCATTTCTTATAAATGGAGGACTTTGTCCTCACAGAGATAGGTTTACGAAACTTACCTTTCGTGGTTAAGTTTTGAAAAGAGCTTGATGCAAAAACGGCTTTTTTCGCCCCCCCTCTGGAATTTCTTCAGACTTTGTCTATTGATTACTCATACTTGAGCGCTTCTTTTCCCAAATTTCCAGACCTCCAAACAATTTTTGGGGGGGGGAGCAAGGGGGGGGGGAAGAAATCAAAACCTGTGAACCTCGATATCCCTCGAACGATGGAAGGTATCGAGGTCCGGTTTGGACGAAAAATCGTCTAAAATTGCATACTTTAAGATTCTAAAGGTCGAAATCCCGATATCACATTTTTAAGTTAGAATATGTGCTTTTTTCAGTTTTAGGTCTAGAAAATTTCTTTTAAACGAAAAATTTACTAAGATTTCAATTTTTTATTTGAACCAAAACCAGTTTTTTAAATTGTTCATCTTTTTCCGCATCCGATGAGTGGTCCATTTAAGCTGGGGAACCAAACGGATTATTTCTGGTTGGTCCAGTTATGAGCGATTTAAGTTTCCGCTCAACGCGCGCCGACCGATTTTCGCGCGCAAAAAAGTCGAATTTGACTCTTATTAAATCAGATTGAATGTTCAAACCGGGCAAAATGTATTTTTAGGAACTCTTGAGAGTCGCCGAGTTCAGAAATTACAGATACTTCCAAAAAATTCACTTTTTTAAAATTACAGCTCCGTAGCGCTATATTACAGGCCCACTGAGCGCCGAGCAGCCGCTCAGTGGGCCTGTACGGGCCTCCTTGCTTTGTTCAAATGTAATGTTAAACTCGGTCTAATTGATCCTCAAAGAAATGTGATTCAATTCAACTGACTCGTTCGTTTATTGAGAGCATTCAAAGTTTGTAGTCAGAATTTGTTAAAACAATTTTACATTCCATGACCCAAAAGCCGTCTCTTTCATTACTAGCTTATTGTTTTTTCTCCCTAAAACTATCATGAGAGATTATAGACACAACAAATCGTCTCTTTCAATGTTCGTTTTGTCTACGGGGTTGACTACACTTGGAAATATTGAAGAGCGGGTAAAAATAAAGGTATTGAAAAATTGAAAATAGTTTGAGTTTTCAACCACTTAGAATCTCTAATTTGAAAAAAACTTATCTACGTATCAATATTATTTTCATGTCATTGAAATGTTAAATTTTTGTTAGTTATATTTGCAGTAATTACCAAATTTTCAACCCTGTAAAAATCATAAAAATCAATAAAAATTGTTTAAAAATAGATAGTTTTTGTTGTTCCCACTTCCATTTTCAAATCAGCATGATTATCAAACATCGTTAATTTACCTCAAAGATTCAGAAAATGCATTGGCTCCTGGGATTTTTGACGGATATCAGAATCAACATTTTTCAAACTTTTTCGCGGTAACTTTTTCAGTCACCCCTGATGATTCGGAATTTCAAAGCAACCAAGATACCCTTATACAAGATTTTTCCTTTTAAATTGCATTCCTGCCCAAAATTGAACTTATGTATGTATCGAGGATAATCTTCGGTAAAAATTAATCGGAATTCTTTTATAATTGAGCCTGGGTTGGGCCCTATCGAATCTTGATTAAGGGCTCAAAGGGGGGAAAAGGTCGGAAAAGGTGCAACACAAATCTAATCAAGAATGAACCCAAGATATTTGGACCGCGTTAAACAGAAAGGAACCAAGCCACATCAGCTATTGCCAAATTTAACAGGGAAATTACATTTTTTACGAGAGAACGTCTGTGCAGATTCCTTTGAAAATTTTAAGGAATTTGCTTTGTATTATGGAAAAAATTCACTGAAATTTGCACAATAATCCGCACAACCGTTTTCATATAAAAAATCAATTTGTCCGATCAAATTTGGCAATAGCTGATGTGGCTTGGTTCCTTTCTGTTTAACGCGGTCCATTTGTACCAAGGATTTTCTGAACGAGTTATTGGAAGGACGAGATTTAAAATGAAGAGAAAATCCAAATGATGATGATCACTCTTATTTATTCTGTATGCAGCTAGCGCTGCTGTATGTACACATATTTACAAGTGACTTAGATGGCTTGAATGAATAATTGACACTGAATGAGATGAGTTGATGACATGACTAGGAACTTGATCTACTTCTTGTAGGCGGGGGCAGAGTAAGAGGGAGCCGAGTAGGAGGGGGCGGAGTAGGCGGGGGCGTGGTAGGCGGGGGCGGGGGCAGGGTGGCTTCCGGGTTCCTTCTGTACGACGGCTTCGAATCCGTGTCCCTTGTCGGAGTAGTGGACGATGCGTTTGCTGCCGTCAGCTTCGACGAGGGAGTAGTATCCCTGGACGTAGTCTCCGTCACGGGTCTCTTCTTGGCTCTTGATGTCGTAGGTGTGGGGGTCGTGGACGTTGTAGGCGAACTTGTAGGCGGGGTGGGCGTCGGGGTAAGCGGGCTCAGCGTGGTAGGCGGGAGCGCTGTAGGCGGGGGCGGCGTGGCCGTAGGAGGAGGAACCGTACTGAGCGGCGGCGACGGCCACGAGGGCGGCGAAGATGCAAAGCTGAAATCAATGAAAATATGGATCATGTTAATAACTAATAAATGTTCAAATCTATCACCTAAGGTATCAAATCATATTGAATCTAGCGTCAGTACGCAAGCTTTGCATTAAATTCAAGCTTGAATACGAAACTGACCATTTTCATTTTGACGGGGAGTGGAGGGATTCTGTGTGATTTTCTGTTTTTCTGATTACTGAGATTACCATGGAAAGATCTAGTAATAGTGGCTAAATTAATTTTTTTATCCTAACATTTTTATTGTTATCCTAACATTTTTCTTTTTATCCTAAAATTAAAGTACTTCCTCTTTTAGGGTCTAACTTTGCCTCTTTCTTCTCTGTTTCAGGTAAACAACCCCCAAAATGCTTGAAATCTTTTTGATTCGAATCAGTAAGTGTTAGTGAGACAGTATTTGTTTATAAACAGAGACGAGGTTTCTATTCTTTCTTCTTTTAATATAAATAATTATTCATTTTTTGCATGCACCTGATTGTACTCTTTAAATTACGGCAAATTGTTCCCAAATTCAAGAAGAAAGAGCTACCCCATTTTAAAATCTTTAGGCGGCCAACGTTAAAAATGGGGTGGAACTAAATTCATTGAAGGAGCACTCTCGAATTATAAGAAAAGAATTAAAACGATCGTTTTGGCAGCCACAAACATGTGTTGCCTTTTATTACTATATTAATCAAAGAAACCGAAAATTTTAACTTTGTCGTATCGCGGTTTTTAGTCCCAAAGTTACCCCTGTCTAAGGATTATAACAATGGTGGAGACTTTTACTTTTGGAATTTCATTACTTAACCTTTGAAACTACGTTTTTTGTCGCTGTTCAGTCATACAAGTCAGTTTTACAGCAAAAGAATCGAATTATTACTTGCACGTGTAAGTAAAAGACCCCCACATGTTTCTGAACGACCATCTGAAAAGTGATGTCAAAGGATAAGTGTTGGAATCCCAAAAGTAACAGCTTCCACTCGTTACGAAAAGGCTAGCTGATGGTTCTCATCTATCTATAGCCCTTGCTCCGAGAAATAAGAAAACAAGGGGGTGAAAAAAAGGAAACAGATTCCCTCGTTTCTAATCAGTAATTTTTAGCCATGCTTAAACACTTTTGCTTAACAATTTTTCCGTTGATTCAGAATAGTAATTTTTATTCCCCCAATGTCTCACTCTCGTTTAAAACTATTCAGACATAAACGTTCAAAAACGGCAGCTGAAATCACATCACTATAGCACATGCCACTTTAACCGCGTCTAAGAGTTCAGGTCACTAACACTTGTCGCGTATCCAATTCATATAAAAGCCACGAAAGAACGAAGTTGAGGTTATGTTATTAGCGTACCTTGAAAGCCATTTTAAGTTTGTTTGATTTGAGGTGTTGACTGGTCCACGTTAAGAGCACAACTGTGAATTTCGGTAGTAGCCTTTACCGTTTTATACACGAACCGTGAATGCTGTTTCTTTGCAGCATCGAGGCGATTTTTGCCAGGTTCTCGAAAAAATGGGAATATCCTGCAGCGGAATGCATTGGCGATGGTGTGGAATCGGCAGCAATGGGCGAAAATTGGAGCTCGATAATGACCTAGTAAGGTGTCGAATGATTACCGAAAGTAAACGGCCACAGAAAAAAAGGATGAACTTGAGGTTGGAGAGGAGGAGTGGTGGTGGAGACTCCCAGACGGTAGCACGGTGGAAAAAAAGTTGCTGCTTTAGGTTGCGTCAGATCACCGAATGTACTTTCACTGGTGCGATGACGGGAAATGCGTGCATGGTCGAAACGCTGCTGCCAAGCTCACAATCAGCTTATTGTCCAGTCGTCCGATCGGATTTTAAACCAAGTCCGATCGAGGCGTTTTTGTCGAAGCAATCCTATGAGATTAGCAGAATGCAAATAAAGCTCCACGAAAATAAAGCGATTGGTGACAGCAATTTATTGCCCGTTTCTTGGAAAATGTTGAAACCGTAAGTTAGTGTCATCGATTCATATCAATGCCACGATGCAAATAAACAACTGAAAGTGCTTGGTGAATGACGGAATGGGTTTTTTTTTTTTTTTTTTTTTTTTTTTTTTTTTTTACAAACAAGTTGGGTCGCATTGAACATCGATGCTGATTTCTAAGATTGCAACTGCCATCAGTCGCCATCGCGAAAAATCACCTTTTTTCCCCCTTTTTTCTTTGGGGGTGTTTCTTGCCCACGGTGGTTCAAAAAATGAGTTCGCTTTCATACATCCATCCATCGAAGTCTAAAACTTGCCGCACAACGAGGTACGTGAGAAAGCGGAAAAGAGAGATGGATAAGATGAGTTTGTGAAACCGGGACACATCTCTCGTGCGAAGCTGCAAGACTAGCAGACCCTGCTGGGTATGGGGTTATGGGAAAAGAATTTGTTGGTGAATATTTGGATTGCATTTTGCAAAAAGGAACCACTAGCATTGCAATGTTGCTAAGATTGTGCAACTTCTTTTGTCTTGGAGGAAAAACCCGATTATCCATTAATAGTTTCTATTTTATTCGCTAAAAACTGTAAATTTGAGACAAAAATTACCATATAAATTTCATAGTTTTTCACGATTTCCGCAATTTTATTGCAAAAGATGAAGTTGCACAATCTTAGCATCATTGCAATGCTAGTGGTTCCTTTTTGCAAAATGAAATCCATTTTACCAAAGAAAAAGCATAGTAATATAGAATTTTACTCGGAGGATTTCAGCTAAAATACCGGGCATTTGCCTGGAAATTCAGATAAACTCTCGTCGAAGCCAACCATCCTATCCACATCTTCCGCACCTATCAAATGAGACAGCCTCAGAGAGGCATCTTATTTTTCTTTCCTCTATTTTCGCCCTAAACTTAGGAGTGAGGAAACGAGGTCTTGTTTTAAGAAAACGTGGCGCTTTTTGTGAGAATTCATTCTTTACTGAAATATCTGTGATTACCGCAGGAGTAAGCGAGGAGATAGCGTGCACGGATTTCGGAGACTCAAACGCATGGGTAGAAAGATTGACCAATTCTCTCTATGATTTTGCGGGTGCAACAATTGTTGTAACGATCGGTGTAACGATGTTGCACTGTAAAATTTAACGCAAGGGCTCATATTCTTTTCATTTTTGTATTTTTGTTTCACCATTGATCGTGCGCATTCTGAAAATTTGAAATAATTGGACCGAGCTTATCAGAAAGGAACCAATCCGTATTTTCGAAAAAATTGAGATAAGAATGTGTTCGAGTACCACCAGCCGTATACTTTCTTCTGTCAAAAACTACAGGCCTAAAAAACATTTTTTTCCCCGTGAAAGAGGGGCTATAGTTTATTTTTTACAGTGAGCCTTGTGCAGGAATAAAACTTGAAACCTTTTTTTCTCAGTTTCAACTTTATGTGGGTTGGTTTCTTTCTGACAAACTCGATTTACTTGTCGAGCTGGAAACCCATCCTCCTCTTAATTACCATCCATCAAAGTGTTACGCCTTCTGAATCAGTCAATAGAAAATGTAACCTCTGGGTAAGCAATTCAACGTAAACCTTTCCATGGAGAAAAATCAATTCTTACTGTAAAAGCTAAGCTTTAAAGTTTGCCGAAGCTCTAGCTATTTTTAACGCCTAGCTTGCAACTACGGAATGAGAATTCCCGTTCCAATGGCTAATTACCCGTGCTTCGACAGGTGTCTTTCGTAAAAATCAAAACATAAAATCGTCTATCACCGAAAATATGTCGGTTACGCCTTCTACCGCACATTCTTTTCTCGCGATCGTTACTACGTCGGCGCCCGCGCTCAGGCGGGTACCGTTGAAGTCCTTTCAGCTCAAATTGAGTCGGGCTGACGCAATCTTTCGTGGGAGCACGGTGTGTTCCTTTGAAAGGAGTGACGGTGACATTACACTTCACACGCGATTTTTCAACTTTTGCTCTACGGAGACGGAGATTGAGCGATGGGTAGAAAGGAGGAAGTTAGGGTGAGAAATATTGTAGAACGGATTGATGAGTTGATAAATATTGTATGAGCAAAATGAAAAATCTATGATATACTCGTACGTACATTGTTTCTGCAAATTTAACGCTTAAATTTGCTAAGTTGTTGGTGTTGGCTTTTTCTCTGCAATGATACTCTCGGTTGATCCGAGACTTAACTTGAATATTAAGTCCTTGTGCCAAGTCGAAAGATTAGATAGTTACACTTTTAGGTACTAAAGTTCAAACAGGTATCGTCAACTCGATGGTCTGCAAGTGCATTGAAAAGTTGCTCCAGTTATGCAACAAAATCCTTCTTACCATAAAGTACACTGGTAAAAAAAATAGCTTGGATCTAGAGTCCAGACTCTTAAAAACATCGACAAGAAAAAATATTCTTGATTCAATCGGATTTTTCCTTCAATCGAAGAGCCAAGCCTCTTGATTCAAGCGGATTTCCATTTGAATCAATAGTATTTTTTCTTGTCAATGTTTTAAGAGTCTGGACTCTAGATCCAAGCTACTTTTTTTAACCAGTGCACCTAGATGAGATATCGGTTGGTAAGCATGTGCATGAAAAGTTGCTGAAATTGCGCGACGAACTCCTTTTTATTAAAAAGAATGGAAGTCCAAATACGTCTACAGTCTCCAGTTATCCTTTGCAAACAGTAGCTCCAAAAATATTAAAATGTATCTATATGTAACGCTCTTAAACAATGCTAAAAACGAATTTGCATAATATTCGCAAAGCGTCCGGACTGCTTTCAAGAATGCCGCCAAAATCTCAAATCTGGCTCGCGCTCTGAAGTTTTATCATGAGACTTAGCCATCAATCACACATTTAGTCGCATCACCCCAAGAAAATTCCAGTCGCCGTTTTAATACATTTTTTACATTGTTTCTCCTCTCTCTTTACCTTTATACCCCTCTGTATCTGCCACAGTTATTCAGCGACATTCATTCCACGCAGAAGCCAGGGATCATAAATATCATCGAAATTGTAAGGAATGCAGACAATGCTCGATCTCGCAATCCTTGGATCGCGACAAACGTGAGACAAATCTCTAGCCTGCTGTAAAAAAAAAGCTCAACTTGTGTACAACTTGAGCGTAGAATAATAGGGAGCACGCCTCCTGGGCGCTACGCGGCCTAGCCACCAAGGGCGCATCGCGCCCTCTAAGACTTGGTAAGAACATGTGGACGGCGTTTAGCAAAAAGGAACCAAGTCTTATTAGCTATTGCCAAATTTAACTGGACAGTTTAATTTTTTACAAGAGCACATTAGTGCGGATTCTTTTGAAAATGTTCAGGAATTTGCTTCGTATTATGCAGAAATTCCACTGAAATTTGCACAAAAATCCGCACAATAGTTTTCATGTAAAAAATTAAATTGCCCTGTTAAATTTGTCAATAGCTCACGTGGCTTGGCTCCCCTCTCACTGGAAAAAAACATTGGATCCAGAGTCCAAACTCTTGAAAACATTGACAAGAAAAAAGACTCTTGATTCAAGCAGATTTAAGCTTAAATCAAAAGGAAATCCGCTCAAATTAAGAGGCTTGGTTCTTGATTTAAGCTTAAATCTGATTGAATCAAGAGTATTTTTTCTTATCAATGTTTTTAAGAGTCTGGACTCTAGATCCAATGTGTTTTTGTTTTTGTTTTGTTTTGTTTTTTTTTTTCCCCCAGTGCTCCTTAACGCGGTCCATCTAAGATGTTCGCTCATACATGTCCGCATTTGTTTTCAATTACCAGAGGTGACCTACAGAACGCGGCTTTAAACAAATATAATAGGTCGAAAGTGTAATATATGATGGATATCGATCATCTTTGACTTGTGTCGCAGGAGGAACGGCCCTGGGAGGAAAATACGGTCGCGATTACACCACTACGGCGGGTATTATGATGTGCAACAATTAAATAAGACAATGAGCGAACCACCAGGTTCTCGGAGGATCAAAGCGACGCGACGCGCGACGTTGACGGGGAGTGGAAACGATCCATTTTCCCGGGCGATTCGCCTGTTAACGTTGACGCACCTCTCGCATCGGGTCCGATTATCGTCGCGGATTACGGGGCGGAGCGATGGTCGCTGATCTGTCGCTCGACGCGCTCGCCTGTTCGCACTTGTGGGTGAAGGTCGGTTGTTGCGCCCGCGCCGCGACGCCCCGCACAGTGGGGCAGGGGTCCCTTTGGACCGCGTTAAGCTGAAAGGGACCAAGCCATATCGATGATCCCCAAATTTAACTGGGCAATGTTTTACATGGAAACGGTTGTGCGGATTTTTGTGCAAATTAAGTCGTATTTTGTTCGGAGGCAACACTCGCAACATGTTGTGAAAACATGCAACCATCGCATTTTGTTCGAAGTTGTTTTGTGTTGGGGGGAGGCGGGGCTTATTTTCGCGCAAAAAATTTGGGAACCCCTACAGCAACATTGTTGTACAACAACTGCAGCATGCTTAGAGCAAGTCGTTTTTATGTTGTTCAAAAAAGCAACGCTGTTTTCTAACCGAAAATTTGAAGTTGCTCTCTCATTGGTTGTTCAGAA